TGAAAAAGGACCAAGTGCCATTTATTGCCTTCTTTAAAACTCATTTCCTTTTTCGTATGAATTAGCCATTCGACCACTTTCAAGTTTTTGGCGATATAGGTCATTTGGCCTCTCCCTTCCATGTGCGTAGTACCTCTTTGGGTGGTCAGTTCTTCCTCAGTTAGTACTGATTCCTCCAAGTACCTGATTAGATCAACCTTTTTGTCATTAGACCAATTTTTTGTCTCTCCCTGGAAGACAATTGCGACCAGCATTTGCTTGAGAAATTCGTTTTGGACTTGTTGGAACTTTTCATTGGGGTGGATTTCTATGCAATCGTCTTCTTCGTTGATCTTGGTTTCGACATAGGCTGAGACGTCCTGAGAGATGTGTTCGAGGAACCATCCCTTCATCATGTCATTGAGCTTCTGGGTCTCATCGTTTGTGATGGTCATGTCAATGGTGGTTCCTCCCACAAAAATATGCGGCTCCGTTTCCATGATGCAGCGAAAAAAGGGGCTGCGCCTGGGTAGGTGTGATGTGGTGGGAGCACGGGGGCTGGGTGTGTTGACAGGGCAGGGGAGGGGTTCGAAATCGTAAAAGGTAACTGCCACGATGATGATAAAAATCAATAATTAATAAAGAATATCGCCGGGGGTATTTCGACATGTCAATGTTAAAAGGAATGCAATCGAAATGGTATAATCACTGGTGAAATAATGAATAATATTAATCATTAATAAAAATCAAATCATATTAAATAGTAGTGTCGGGACCAACCGACATAGGGAAGGTGAGCTAAGCGGAGGTAAGTAATCCAGTCGCTTTGAAGAAAGATGACATGACTACAAGTGAAGAAGTGCAGGAAAAAAAAAAAAAAAAAAAAAAAAAAAAAAAAAAAAAAAAAAAGGGGGGGGGGCTACCGATATGATTGAGGTGGATTATTGAGAGAGTAGTTAGTGGTTACCGAAGCGGGAGGATCGGGGAAGTGGGGAGAAGGGCTCAGACGATAACGATGAGGATCGAATAGCGTCGGCCATATACCTCGGATAGAGGATTGCTACTGTGAACCGTGTCGAGGGGGGTGAGCCGAAAGAGCAGACTCCGAGGTTATCGGGGGGGGGGGGGGGGGGGGGGGGGGGGGGGGGGGAAGGTGGTTTGTACGGGTAGGAAGGTATAGAAGCTCAAGCGGGGGGGTAGGTAGACGATCGAAGTAATGAAGGGGGTAGGCAGGGGGAAGTAAGATGGCAGCGGAAGAAAGCGAAAGATAAAGGCGACTAGGGGGGTGAGCGGGGGATGACGAAGGGCGACGAGGATGGCTAAAACTGGTTGCCGCTGCTAGCTGCGGGAGATGACGAATCTGAGATGGCAGTTGGAGGTGGCGACAAGGGGCGAAACTTAATGTAAGTGGAAATCGCGTTTAGGAGGGTGGGCCGATCGGGCAGGGACTGGGGATACGAGGTGGGGCGAGGAGAGACTAGAGGCGGCGGGAGGGGAGAGGGGGAGAAAGAAGAGCTGGCGGGGGGGAGCTAGGAAGGCAGCGGGGTATGACGAGGAATGATTGCATTTGGCGGGGTAAATGGGGAGTGACGAAGGTGACCAATAAGATGAAAAAGGATTGCTCAGCGAGAGTGGTGAAAAAGACGAGAGTGACGATTACGACAAAAATGAAGAATATGACGAATGTAACGAAACGACGCATCTAGGGGGTGGGTGGGGGATGACGAGAAAGACGAATATGACGAGAGTGTTTGCCAGTGTTAAGCTCGGGGGAAGACGTAAGTAAGAGGACAGCGGGAGGCGACGAA